AAAAAAAGGGCCAGCAGATGGCATTGTGGTTAAGGTGCTGGGCTCTCACCTGGTTGACTGTGGTTCAAGTCCCAGACCTAGTAGTGCTCTCTCTCTTTTTCTGATGAGCACACAAACACTATAGCAAAACTTAAAAAAATAAGAATAATATCAATACATAAAATAATTTTGAAAAAGAAACAAATATATATATATATATATGTGTGTGTGTGTGTGTGCACATATGCATGTTGTGCCTGTTTTCCCACATCAAAAAGAACCTTATGTAATACCACATTTAATGGCTGTACTGTATTCCTTTATTTATTTATTTTTTTAATACGTTTTGCTATAGAGCATGTCACAGAGAGACAGAGAGGGAAAGTGAGAAACACCCCCTGGGGGAATGGCCACACTACAACCTCTTCTCCATTCTCGTCTTGGGATTTTGGGTACACACGTGTACCTGACACGTTTTCAAGTCACCGAGTCTGGGATTCAAATTGCAGAGTCGGCTACGTGAGATCCAGTCGTCTAAGCCTCCACACCACCTGCTAGCCCTGTACTACATTCCATTTTATGGCTGTATCCTTCCAGGTAGCCAGTTCCTTACTACTGGGAAGCTAGGGTTAGAATTGTACCACTTCAAACTACCTTTGTTTCTAAAACTAATAAAGTCTAGAACAGAGGCCAGCAGATGGCATGATGGTTAAGGCATTGGACTCCCACGTGGCGGACTGCAGTTTGAGTCCCAGACCTGGAGCCTTGCTTTCTCGTTTTCCTTTCTCTCTCTGATCAAATTAAAAATAATAACAAATGGAATTAAATAAACAAATAATTCTTTTAAAAAAGACTGGAACAGCAGAAAAACAGTATCAGACACACCAAGTGCAGACTGCAGCCCTCAAAGACATCTTGGGCTTGCTCGGGTGGAAAAAGACTGAGAAAAAGACTTGAGCATCCTTTCTCCACTCTGCCTGTTAACACCACACACAGTGACTCGATCATTCTCAGGAAGACATTACATCTTTACCTTTTTAGTTCATTTACAATTGACTCATGAACCTTCATTGCAATTTTGCCATCCAGCTGTGCTTTGAGTTCTTGGCACTCGGCACGTGAAATCTCCAGCTGCTCCTTGTTCTCCATGAGCTCCTTCTCCTGGCACTGGCTTTTCGACTCCAGGAGCATTAACTGCTTGGTCAGCTTAGAAACTAAAACGCAAAAGAGAAGGACAAAGGGGACTTAGTAAAACATGATTACTGACTACTAAGAAATACTGATGAGAGAAGCCACAGGCGGCATGGTGGTTAAGAGCACTGGACTTCTACATGGCTGACTGCGGTTCAAGTACTAGACCTGGTGGCCTGCTTTCTCACTTTCCTTCTCTCTCTCTCTCTCTCTCACTCTGTCCCTCCCTGGTCAAATAAATAAATAAATAAAGTTAAATAAAATAATTCTTTTTAAAAAATATATTAATGAGAATCATTTAAATGATCTTTGTTTTCCTTTATCCATGAGAGTACATGAATGTGCAAGTGAAAGTACGAGAGACAGAGAGAGAGATGAGCACCCTCTGAAGGTTCTGGTCACGCTGCAATGCCCTTCCTCTAGTCCTCCAGCCCATCAGATCTTGGGCGCTCTTAAGTGTGCCTGGTATGTTTTTATTTCAGGCTGATCAGGTGGAAGGTTCAAACCACAGCTACAATGTGGGATATGATTCCTCTCGAGCAGCTTATCACGGCTATGCCGCAGAGCCCTGAGGTTTTTTTAAAAGCTCTAAGATCTTTTAGATATCTTTTGGAGAATCAGGGCCAAGCAGACTGTGTGGAGGTTAAGGTAGTGACTACACAGTTTGAGTCCTGGACCTGGTAGCTTGATAAACAGGCTGGGTGGGGCCAGCAGGTGGTGTGGAGGTTGGGGCAGCTGGATCCCACATGGTACATGTGCACACCAGAGAGAGAGAGACAAAGCGAAAGAGAGAGAGAAAGGGAGAAATCATCCCCAAAGGGGAATAGCCACACCACAATCCTTTCTCCATTCTCCTCTTGGGATTCTGGGCATGCACACACATACCTGGTGTTTTCAAGCCCCTGGGTATGAGTCTCAAACTATGAAGTCAGCCATGTGGGATCCAGCTGCCCCAACCTCCACACCACCTGCTGGCTCAAGATGAATATATTCTAAAAAACACAATTTCCCCTATTGTCTTCCTTCTCTTTTTCACCTTCCTGTCCCTCCTTCCTTCCTTCATTTCTTTTTTTAGTTTTTGCTATAGGAAATGAGTGCTCTCCAGAGAGAGAGAGAGAGAGAGAGAGCAAGTGGGAAAACACCCTCCCATCTCCACCCTGGGGGGGATAACCACACTGCAATCCTTTCTCCTCCACTCTCCTCTTGGGATTTGGGGCATGCATGCATAAGTGCCCAGCATGTTTTTCAAGCTGCCTAGTTCAGAATTTGAACCACGCAGCAAGTCATGTGAGATCCAATGCCTTAACCTCCATCCCACCTGCTGGTCCAAGTATAAAATGAAGCAGCAGTGACATTGCAGCATTGTGGTTACTCAGTGGGAGGGCTCACCTTCTTGGAGATGCTCCTGGTGGGTGTCCTTGGCTTTTGTTTGCTGAATTTCCAACTGCTCTATTAGCAATCTGTTTTCCTCTAAAACCAGTTCCGCTTGGGTCTGAAGCTGATCCCTGCAAATGAGTTACAAAATTATTTGCAGTGCCTGCAATTCAGGTACTGAATGGTTACAGAAACACTCTGAAATCTAAAAGAAAGCAGTTGATAAACATCCGGCCATGTCTTAGTATTACCAATAGCCAATAATACTGCCATTTACAATAATGGGAGAGAGGACTGGCAAAGAAATTTGATTTAAGAACTGCTTCAGTACCTTTTTTTTTTTTTGGAGAGGTTTTCGCTATAGGGCACGTGCACTCACCAGACAGACAGAGAGAGACATGGAGACAGAAAGCGAGAAATCATCCCCCAGGGGGGATGGTCACGCCGCAGTCCCTTGTCCTCCATTCTCCTCTCGGGATCTTGGGCATGCACGCACACGTGCCCAGTGTGAGTTTTAAGCCACCAGGTCCAGGACGCGAACCGCAGTCGACTATGTGGGAGTCCAGCGACATAGCCATTACGCTAACTGCTGGTTCCTTGCTTCAGTACCTTTTTAAATGTAAAATTTCAAGCATATACAACAAAAGCAGAAAGAATAGAATAAGCTCCCATGTACACAATACCCAGCTTAAACAACCATCAAATGGCCAATCTAATTTCATCTCTATGAAAAAAGACTTCAAAGAGTTCATGGAAAAATAAAACTAAACTATAAGTTTAATTAATTTAATTAGAGAATAATACAAGTTTGAAATCCATGTATAGTTTTTTTCATAATACATTTTCTATAAACTTTTTGACCCACCCCCCCTAAACTCTCAATCTCTCTACCCACTGGATTATGTAGTTACTGAAGCCCATATGTAATTTTTTTTTAAGAATTCAGAAAGTTCCCAGGTAGGAGGGGGCTTCCACATTATCAGGGATGGGAACTTGGCCAAGCTGTCTCCTCCGGTCTCCTCTTCCTACTTCAGACAGAGGAGCTGTAGTTTGTTCTGTTATACTTTGGACTTCTCCTTCCTTCCTCCCTCTCTTCCTCCCTCCCTCTCTTCCTTCCTCCCTCCTTTCCTTCCTTCTTTTTTCCCTACCTCCTTCTCTCCCTTTATTCTTTTCTTTTTTTAAAAGGAAAGGAATCCTTATTTCTAAAAAAAAGTTGAAAACCTCAGATTTAGTTTAACACTCCCTCACATTCTTTTTCTAACTGCCAGAAGGTGTGTGTGTGCTCACCAGAGAGAGAGTCAGAGAGAGAGAGAGAGAGAGAGAGCGAGAGCATTCCCCACAGTTGCCAAGGTGACTCAATAATCCTTGTTCCTTCTTTTCTCCATCCCATCAGGATCTGGGGCACACATGCACACAAGTCTGGTGTGTTTTTCAAGCTACCAGAGCCAGGAACTGAACTGCGATTACCCATGTGGGATCCAGTTCCCTACATGTAGCGCTTAATCACTGCACTGTGGGGCCAGCCCACTCCCCCCATTGTATAGGTAAAGAAACAGACTCATCAAGCCCGAGGTTACCAGCTTAGAAGTCAGGAAAAGAAACGTGGAGAATTGAGTTGCAGCCCAGAAGTTCTCTGAGAAATGACTGGAAATGAGTAGAAAGCTCCAGCTGAAGTGTGAAGTCTCTGTGAAGGTCTAGTCTAGGAGCCACACACCTCTGCAGGTATAGGGGGCAGCAACGAGGTTCAGGGAGAGGCTGCCACGAAGGGCTCCAGGGGTTGCAGGAGGGCTGCGTATGGTGTGTGATGCCAGAGCCAGGGACCCCTCTCCCAGCTAGAGGGCTAAGTTCAAATCCCAGGGAACACTGCAGGACTGTGGATCTGAAAATAAGGGGCTTGCTTTCTTTCCTTTTTTACTTCCATTTTAAGGAAATGTAAACAAGACTGACTTACGGCTATATAAAAGCGTGGAGAAAGAATCTGAGGTTCCAGTCTCGTGAGGGCCTTTGGATGCACAGGACCTGATCTGACTAAGCTGCTCTTCAAAGTTCTGCTCACGGAGGGATAGAGGAGACACAGTACGAGCCCTGACAGAAGCCCAAGTCCAACAGGGGAAGTCGCACGCACCCAAATCTAGCACCTGTCTAGGCCAGTCCACCTGATACATCATGGCCGTAAGACCAGGGCGAGTCAGCCTAAGGGTAAGGGCACTGTGGACTCAATTCAGATACTGCATACAGAAAGTACTTCATTTTTTTTCCAGCAATGCTAAGAGATTTAAAAAATAGTAACTATAACATATGTGCCCAAAGAGTATACATTTGGTTTTCTTCGTCTTCCCTGAATATTGCCTTTAGGCTTTGAAAGCATTTACTTTCTCTGATCTAGTTAATGGGCACCTGTGGCTGCTGTGGTCGACAGGGGCTCACACCCAAAGATGAACACACATGGGTCTTGTCCTTGAGGAGCTTGCCAAGGGGAAGACAGAGACAGACCTGGAGATGAAAGGTGCAGGAGGCTCAGGGTAGAGCCCCAGGACAGGGCCTGCATCTAGGGCTAGGTCAGAAACAGACAAGAAAGCAACAACCGCCTCTCCTGCAGGGGGCGCTACAGACAAGCACCACTGAGTGAGGCCCGAAGGGTTAGCAGGAGTGCAGAGGGGACTTCTGGGAGAAGGAACATAAAGGACGTGGGTGGCCTCAACTGCCAGGGAGTGGAGGTGTGGGCCTAATCCTTCCAATCTGGGTTTTCCGTACTAATGCCTGAGAGTGATGGAGGGGTGTAAGACAGGATGTGCTTATGGGAAAATTATCCTAGAAAATACCACCCAGGAAATAAAAATGGAGAAAGCAAATGTATCTCAGGTTTGAGAACCTATTTAGAATTTTAAAAGTCATTTTTAGAATATAAATTTCAAATAATTTATGAGGATTTCATTATACATTATTAACTATCTCTTAAAATACTGTCTTTAAGAGAAAAAAGAATGTAGGGTCAGCAGGTGGAGTAGTGGAGCTGGACTCCCACATGGTCGACCATGGCTCAAGTTGTGACCAGCAGCTTGAAACTCACAGAGGGCACGTGTACGTGCGTGCCCAAAATCCCAAGAAGAGAATGGAAGAGAAGGGATTGTGGCATGGCCATCCTACTTGGGGGCGGTTTCTCACTTTCTCTCTGTCTTTGATGAGTGCACGCACCCTATAGCAAAAATCTCTCAAAAAAGAAAAAGAGAAGAATGGATAAGTCCCATGGCCTAGTGGTTAAGGGAGTTGAAGTTCGAATCCCAACCCCAGCAGCTCAAAAAACACCCAGGGCATGTGTGTGTGGGTCCAAAAGCCTGACAGGATGGTGATATAGGAAAACGGATTGCAGTGTGACCATGACCCATTACAGGGGGAGTCGGGGGAGGGAGTGCCTTCTCCCTCTCTCTCCTTCTCTGTTTATCTGTCTCACTCTGGTGAGCATGTATTTCCTCTGGCAATTAAAAAAGAGAGAGACAAGGGGACCAGCAGTTAGAGTACCGGCTATGTCGCTGGACTCCCATGTAGTTGACCACGGTTCGAGCCCCAGACCTGGCAGCTTAAACTCACGCCAGGCTCGTGTGCGTGCATGCCCAAGATCCAGAGAAGAGAATGGAGGAGGAGGGATTGTGGCATGGCCATCCCTCCGGGGGATGATTTCTCACTTTCTGTCTCTCTATCTCTCTCTTTCTGGTGAGCGCACATGCCCTATAGCAAAAAACCTCTCCAAAAAAAATAATAATAATTGAAAAAAGAGAGAGACAAGGACCAGCAGATGGCATAAAGGTTACATCGCTGAACTCTCATGTTGTTGACTGCGGCTTGAGTCCTGGACCCGGAGGATTAAACTCACGCCAGATGTGTGTGCATGCGTGCCCAAGATCCTGAGAGAAGAATGGAGAAGGGATTGCAGTGTGGTCATCGCCCTGGGGAGTGATTTCTCACTTTCTGTCTCTGTCTTTCCTGTAAGCACATGTGTCCTATAGCAAAAACCTTTCCTAAAAAAAAAAAAAAAAAAAAAAAAAAAAGGAAAGAGAGAACATATTTATGTATTTGATGATTTCATAACTTTCTATTTTGTTTCACTTAGCAAAGTATCAGAAACACAACAGCACTTGCCTTTCCTTGCTGGTAATGGGACTACTCTTATTTAACTCTTGGTGCAGTTCTTCGTTTTCTTTCACCACTTCTTGGACTCGTATCCTAAACATTCTCATTTCCTCCTGAAATAAAATTCATGTACATTGTAACACACACATGCACACACATCTTTATTGCTTAGTTCTAGGGCTGCTGCTATCAAAGCCGTTTAGCACCAATGGATGGTGCTAAACTTCCGGTACCAGCACCAGGCGCCCGTCCTTGGGGAGCTTAAGGCCTCGGGGGAACACACAAGGTGACACTAAGAACAGGGACAAAGAACCATCGATTCTGTCGATTTTAAATATTCAATTCTTAATTTGATAACTGAAAAATCTGTAAAAAAATTTTAAAAGGGATTTTTATCTTTTTTTTTTTTTTTTTGGAGAGATTTTCACTGTAGGGCGCGTGCGCTCGCCAGACAGACAGAGAGAGACATAGAGACAGAAAGCGAGAAATCACCCCCCAGGGGGGATGGTCACGCCGCAATCCCTTCTCCTCCATTCTCCTCTCGGGATCTTGGGCACGCACGCACACGCGCCCGGCGTGAGTTTTAAGCCACCGGGTCCGGGACACGAACCGCGGTCGACTACGTGGGAATCCAGCGACATAGCCATTACGCTAACTGCTGGTTCCCAAGGGATTTTTAAAAAGAAGCCCATAAATACAGTAATTTTCCTTTCTCTAAAGACTCTGCAGAATAAGTTGGAAGTTTTTTTTTAGTTTTTTTTTTTTTTCTTTAGAGGTGTTTGCTACATGGCGTATGCACTCGCCAGAGATAGAAAGGAAAACGCGAGTAACCCCCCCCGGAGAGGGCATGACAAAGCCGCAATCCCTTCTCCATTCTCCTCTCAAGATCTTGGGCACACACGCACACGCACCTGGTGTGAATTTAAGCCATTGGGTCCAGAACTTGAACTGCGGTCGACTACATGGGAGTTCAGCGACATAGCCATTATGCTAACTGCTGGTTGGTCCCTTTTTTAGGTTTTTGTCATAGGGCACATGGTCATCGGAGAGGGGACAGAGAGAAAGAAAGTGAGAAATCATCCCCTAGGGGGAATGGCCATGCTGCAATCGCTTCTCCTCTATTCTCTAGGAATTTTAGGCACACACGCACAAATGCCTGGTGTGATTTTCAAGCCACCAAGTCTGAGACTTGAACCATAGTTAGGCATGTGGGAATCCCAGAACCTTAACCTCCACACCACCTGCTGGCCCAGTGGAGCTTTCTAATATAAAAAAATAATAATAAATAAGAACTCTTCTTCCTTAACAAAGCCTGTTTTGGTGGGAGAAGGAGTTAGAGGATCTTAATTTTTCTCCATGACAACCAGCAAACCTGTCTCTCTGTTTTTGATATTGCCAGAGGGCACATGCATTGAGATAGAGCAAAAAGGAGGAGAAAGCACCCTCCAGTGAGGCATGGTCACACCACAACCCCTTCTCTTCCATTCCTCCATCCCATCAGGACTTTGGGCATGCACACATGCCTGGGTGGGGGGGTTTCCAAGCCACTAGATCCAGTATTTGAACTGCACGGTCAGCCGTGTGGAATCTGGCTCCCTTCACCACCAGGCCATGGGGCTAACCCAAGCCTCTCTTATTTAAAATCATGAGCGCACACAGCGTCATCAACCATTCACCCCAACATGAGGCTGGTCGGTTAACAGTCTCAGCGTACGGCCCTTCTGCTAGGCCTTCTCCATCATGGCTTTTCTCAGCCAGTTTCAGTGCCAATATTTATTCTGCGTGCTTCTAACTACTCTTCCCCCAGCTATCCAATACTCACATTTATACCTGTTTAACCTAAAGTGACATTGCCAAATCACCTCTCCTCCCCTCCCCTTTCTGCCGACACACTCACCGAATGCTGACAGTCCACTTGCCTCATTTTCAGAAGAGAGGTCAAGCAAACCAAAGCCCACAGGCCAGCTGCCTGTTTTTATAAATAAAGTTTTATTGGATCAAGCCTTGCCCATCATGGACATGTTGCCTACAGCAGCCTGCATCCTACAGCAGCCTGCATGCTGCAGCAGCTAAGCTGAGTGATTGCAAACAGAAAGCACATGGTCCACAGGCCTACGCTGCTCATTACTGCCCTGCAGAGAAAATGTGTGCTCACCCTGATTAGAAGGAACACCAACATACAGGACCGGCAGATGACATCATGGTTATACCACTGGGCTCCCGCAAGGCTGACCATGGTTTAAGTACTGGACCCGGCAGCTTAAAATTCACGCCGGCCCCATGTGTGGGTGTGCCCAAAATCCTGAGAGGAGACTGAAGGAGATGGGATTGTGGCATGATCATCCCTTGCTGGGGGGCAATTTCTCACTTTCTGTCTCTCTGTCTCTCCGGCAAGTACATATGCCCTATAGCAAAAATCTCTTTCTAAAAAAAGAAAAAGAAGGAACACCAGTGTGATAATGTTACTACTATCAGGATTGATATTTAATCAATCAGTATAAGATTAATTCAAGTTCTTCAAAAGCTAAGTGTCAGGGCCAGCAGATGGCATAGTGGTTATGTCACTGGACTCCCACATGACTGATCGTAGTTCGAGACCCAGACCTGATGGCTTGAAACTCACACCGGGTGCATGTCCATGTATGCCCAAGATCCCAGGAGGAGAATGGAAGGGAAGGAATTGGGGTGTGGCCATTCCTCCTAGAGGGTGATTTATTACTTTCCCTCTCCCTGTCTCTGTCTCTCTCTAGCGAGCACACATGCCCTAAGGCAAAACCTCTACTGAAAGTGTCCAGGGCCAGCTGGCGGCATGGTGCTTAGGGCCACAAGGCTAACTACACGGTTCAAGATCAGGACCGGGCAGTTAGAAAAACACACTGGTGCGTGTGCATGAGTGCTCCAAATCCCGAGAGAATGGAAAGAAGGGATTGCAGTGTAGCCATCCTCCCTGGGGGTGATTTCTTCTCTATTCCTCTCGGGATTTTGGGTGGGCATGCCCATGTGCCCAGGTGTGTTTTCCAAGCTGCCAGGTCCAGGACTTGAACCACGAAATCAATCAGCTATGTGAGATCCAGCACCTTAACCACTATGACACTTGCTGGACCAAAATAGTCTTATTTCTTACAAGCCTTGTTTCTTCTGAGGCATTTGCCAACCTACCTCGAGAGTGGCATTAAGCTCATCTTTCTCTTTCATTCTATCTTCATAAGCCAGCAACAATGGTGACAGGTACTTCATATCCAACTGATAATGGAATAAAAGAAGGTTAATATACGCCTCACATCTAAATACAACCAACAGATTCTAAAATGCAATAAAATACATTTATTTTGGAATTTTTTTAACAGCTATGCAAATATAGCCTTGAAAATATGGGCCTAAAATGAAATAATGTTTACTTACCAACCAGGGTGGTATAGGGCCCTTTGATGGGAGGCCTTCGATAGTTGAACTCTAAGAACAAAACGCATATTAAAGACAAACTACGTCTTCTCTGAAAATTTAAGTCTTACATATTCCTTTTATTTTAATTGCCAGAGGGCATGTGTACTTGGCAGAGAGAGGCCAAGAAACAGAGAGAGGGGGAGAAAACACATCCAGATAGGATATGATCATGCCTCAGTCCCTTCTCCTCCACTTCTCCATCCTCCCAGGATCCTGACACACATGCACATGCACCTGGTGTTTCTCAAGTGGTCAGCCACGTAGGGTCCAGCTCCCTTAAGCACTCAGGGCCTACCTAAGTCTTTGTCTTAATCTCGACTGGACATGGCCTACCTATAAACCTCTCTAAGTAGGACTAGCAGATGGCATAATAGTTATGTTGCTGGACTTCCACGTAGCGGACAGTGGTTCAAGTCCTGGATGCAGTGGCTTAAAACTCACACTGGGTGCATGTGCATGCATGCCCAAAATCCTGACAGAGAATGGAGAAGGGACTGCAGCATGGCCATCCCATCTGGAGGAAGGGCTTCTCACTTTCTGTCTCTCTCTGTCTCTCTGGTGAGCACACGTGTCCTATAGCAAAAATCTCTCTCAAAAAACAAACAAACAAAAAACCCCCAAACACTTCTCCATGTGGCTAGTTAGAACTCCAAGATCTCTCAGTGCTATTTGAGTTCTGGCAACTAAGCAATTCAGCTCACAGCTCTACGCTATTGTCTTCCGCCCAGCCTTCTGGAGTGTCATCCTATATGTGTGCATATTGGTATTCAACAAAAGATTCCAAGGAACTCCACGCAGATTTTGGTATCTCCTCTCTACAGCCCTCGCCTTTCTGGTGTTCTTGTCCTGCAAATTCTAGTCTCCTCGACTTCCCAAACACTCATCTGTCTCAACTCAGTGAGACTGCTATGCTCCGCTTGGGTTCCTCCATCCTGCTCTGTGATCCGAAGCTGTGTGTAGGTAGAAAGCAGAGGTGATCATAAGCTCATTTTCTTACACTTCTGGTCCTGAGACTCCAATGTGTGTGAACGGTTGTGTTATACAGTAGTACCCCTTTATCCACAGGAGACGTTCCAAGACCCCCAGTGGATGCCCCTAACCGCAGACAGTACTGAACCCTATATATATATTAGATGTTATGTTTTTCTATCTGAAAACCTAGACAGCTACTAAGTGACTCCCAGATGGGTAGTATGGACAGTGTGGGAATGTTGGACCAAAGAGTGATTCGTGTCCTGAGTGAGACAGAGCAATATAGTGTGAGATTTCATTATGCTACTCAGAGCAGTGTACCATTTAAAACTTCTAAGTTGTTGGGCTGGTCACATAACCTAATGGTTAAGGAAATCAGATCCCAAATGGCCGACTGTGGTTCAAATCCTAACCCTGGTAGCTTGAAAAGAACAACAGGGGCCAGCAGGTAATTTGGTGGTCAAGGCACTGGACTCCTACATGGCTCACTGCGGTATGAGTCCCAGACCTGTTGGCTTGCTTTCTCACTTTCTCTTATGCATGGGCCCTGGAGCAAATTTTAAAATGGCAATAAATAAAATAAATAATTATTTGAAAGAAAAGCACACCACGTACATGTTTGTGCATGCCCAAGATCACAACAGGATGGAGAAAAGAAGGAGAGGGGACTGTGGCATGACCATGCCCACTCTCTCTCTCCCTCTCTCTGGTGAGCACCCTCTGGCAATTAAAAAACTAACATTATGAATCGTTTAATTTTTAGAATTTTCCATTAATTATTTCCAGAACTCAGTTGACTGAAGGTAACTGAAACTGTGGAAAGTAAAACTGGAAATAATAACTACTGTACATTCTATTAGTTTTCTAGTTGTTTACAGTGGGAAGGTAAGTCTGCTTATGGAGCAATGGCCCTAGTGTGGTAATTTAACAAAAAGTTTCCAACGTATTCACCTTAATATCTACCTCATCACTCATCCATTCAGCAAATGTTGTGAACCTACTAAGTCATTATGGACTTGGCAACACAATCCTTGTTTTCAAGGCTGTTGTGGTCTAATAGCCAAGATAACACAAAAGAATCTAATACACAAATATAGTACATGGTAGACTTTTTTCTTTCTTTCTTTCTTTCTTTTTGATATATTTTTGCTACAGGGTTCGTGTGCTCACAGGGAGACAGACACCGAGCAATCAACTCCCAGGGGGATGTCCACATTGCAATTCCTTCTTCTCCAGCTCCTCTGGGAATTTTGAGCACACATGCTCAAGCATCAGTTTCAAGTTGCCGGGTCCAGGACTCAAACCACAGTTGGCCATGAGGGAGCCCACTGCCTTAATCACCATGCCACCTGCTGGCCCCTAGGGTAGACTTTTATAAGTACTTTAAAGTTAGTACAAACACACATCTGTAATGGCTTAAAAGAGAGAGAGAGATCACTTCCGGCTGACGTCCTCATGGAGAACGTGGGATTTGCCCAGGGCAGAAGAAATGCATGAGGAGTGGAGTGTGGTGGGGCAGGGGGAAGGTTGCCATTGTCCTGCTTGCACTGCTCAACCAGAATCCTGCAGAAGGCCTTGACCTAGGAACATGTTTTAGGTCACGAGATCCCCAATAACTTTATGCTAAGAAGTCATTATACCACATACAGTATGATTCTATGTATAGGAAATGTTCAGAATAGGCAAATCCACAGAGACAGAAAATATGTAGTGGATGCCTAAGGCTTTTTTTTTTTTTTTTGAGAGGTTTTCGCTATGGGGCGCGTGCGCTCGCCAGACAGACAGAGAGAGACAGAGAGACAGAAAGCAAGAAATCACCCCCCAGAGGGGATGGTCACGCCGCAATCCCTTCTCCTCCATTCTCCTCTCGGGATCTTGGGCACACACGCACACGCGCCCAGCGTGAGTTCTAAGTCACTGGGTCCGGGATGCGAACCGTGGTCAATTACGTGGGAGTCCAGCGACATAGCCATTACGCTAATTGCTGGTTCTCCCTAAGGCATTTTCAAATGTTGTACACCAACAAACTATACTTGGAACCGTGGGAATCAGGATCAAGAATGAAGTAGTTGATGTGGACTTTTATACTTTTATTTTTCTTAGGTCTATTTTAGGTATACTTTGTATATATAGTTCTATAGCATCTGAAATTTTACAGAGTCTTTATTGTGTCTTTGTTATGGAAAAAGAAGGAAGGAAATAGAACAATTCCTAGGAAGACTACACTTTGGGTATAACTTTTTTTATACTAAATTATAATAATTAAGAATCCCTGTCAGGGGGCCAACAGGTGGCACGGTAGTTAAGGCACTAGACTCCCACATGGCCAACTGCGGTGCGAGTCCCAGACCTGGTGGCTTGCTTTCTCTCTCTGGTGAATGCATGTGTCCTATAGCAAATTTAAAAAATAATAGCAATACATAAAATTTTTAAAAAAGAATCTCTCGGGATTAGGAATCAATTCAACGGTAAAAGCTAGAAGAATCTGAAAAAGGGAACAGCAGGTGGCGTGGTGGTTAAGGCACTGGATCCCGCATGGCTGTGTAGAGTGCTGGACCTGGTGGCCTGAAAACACACCAGGCGCAGGTGTGTGTGCCCAAAATTCTAAGAGAAGAAGGGAGTACAGTGTGGCCATTCCCTCTGGGGAGTGATTTTTCTTTTTTCCTCTTTGTCTGTCTGTCTCTGGCAAGAACACCTGCCAGAGCACAAAAAAAAAGTCTGATTTTTTGTAATTAGAAACATTACCTCTTCCTCAGTCAAATGCCTGAATTTTGTTTGATATCGACTCAGTTCTACATTCAAACGATGGACAGTCATTTTCAACCCATCATTTTCATCCACCAGTTCTTGAGCTTGTCTTCTTAGATAAGATAATTCAGGTGCAGGAACTAGTGAAAAAAAATCAATCTAATATTATACTATAAGAAATCATATCAAATTTATCAAGATTTTATATAATCTTTTGCTAATTATGTACTTCTTTTTTTAACCTTTTATGCTTATAGAATGTTATACACACACATTGAATAAGTTACAAAGTTTAACAATGGACAATCAACATTGTTTGGGAAGTTTTTAAATTAACAAGAAAATATTGGGTCATCAGGAAAGTCATGATGTATTCTTTTTATTTTTCTATGCAAAAATGTGTCATAACTTGTCCAGTAACTCAATAATTAAGTAGGAAAGGTTTACTTATCATTTCAGATGATACAAAAATATATGTCCTAAAAATCACCCAGAAGGGCCAGAAGGTAGCATGGTGATTAAGGTGCTGGACTTCCACAAGACAGACTATGGTTTGAGTTCCGGACCTGGCAGCTAGCTTTCTCACTTTCCCTCTCTCTCTCTGTCTCTCTTTGGTGAGTACATGTGCCCTATAACAAATAGTAATAAATGTTATTAAATAAATAATCATTTTCTTCGAGTCTCCCTCTGGTGAGTGCATCCTCTGGCAATGTAAACGAGAAAGGCAAGAACATTAAGATAACACTTGTTTTGCATGTTGTAGATAAAAAGAAAACAATTGATTGAACTCTGCTTTTCCAAAGTGTGGCATAAGGGACATTGCATCTTGGTCTGGGGTCACTGACACTGGCTATGCTACCCCATGGTCATCTCATACAAGAGAACATGGCTGGAGGTTCCCAGGCCTACATTTTAGCTCACCACCTGTTGCCATTTACACCCTCTGAGTCTCCCTGGTCTTGACTACTCTCTCCCTCTTCTTAGGCTTGCTCCTTGAATGTGTCATGTGCTCTTACTCTTCTAGAACTGAAGCACACTGTCTATTCTGAGTCAGAATTCATCTATGTCCCTCAAAATTCTGTCTTTGCAACCAGGTTAAACCTGCACCCCATAACTTTGTTGGGGTGCCAGTATATCCCTGCCATAAGAATTCCTGATTGTTTCACTCTTTGTATAAGGCATTCAATGACCTTTCTCACTTTCTATCTCTATCTCTCCAGCAAGTACACATAACTCTATAGCAAAAACCTCTTTAAAAAAATCACATAAAGGGGAAAGTTTGTTAGAACAACCTTTCCAAATAATAGTAATGCTCTATCAGAAAATATAATTAACAATAATAATAATAATAAATAATTCTTTAAGAAAAAAGAAAATATAATAAAAAATAGATCACAAAAAGTAACAGCATGAAGTATCTAGAAATAAATGTGCCCAAGACAAGAAACACACAGGATGTATACGAAAAAAAAAACTACGCTGCCTTACTTAAGGCCATAATATTAGTCTTACATAAATAGAAAAAGGTGTAGAGAAAATATTGGTGAATAGTTATATAACTTTAGAGTTAAAAAAAGACACTTGAAATGTTAAAAGCATCTTATAGGACCAGCAGGTGACGTGGTGCTTAAGGGTGGTGGACTCCCACACTGCTGACCACAGTTTGAGTCCTGGACCTGGCAGCTTGCTTTCTCACTTTCCCCTCTCACGTTGTCCTTCCCTGGTCAAATTAACAATAAATAAATAAATAAATGTTACATAAAATAATTCTTTTAAAAATTTACAGATTTAGCTCAATTGTCAACAAACTAAAACTATTACACATTATAAAGGACTAACATCCTGGGCCAACAGGTGGTGTGGTGAAGGCGCAGGATCCCACGCGGCCGACCCCACAGTTTAAGTCCCAGACCTGGCGACTTGAAAAACACACTGGGTGTGCGTGCATGCATGTCCAGAATCCTATGAGGAGAATGGAGGAGAAGGGACTGTGAGGTGGCCACCCCCTCTGGGGAGTGACTTCTCACTTTTCCTGTCTCTGTCTCCTATGGTAAAAATCTTTTTTTAAAAAAAAGGAGGGGAGGAGGGGGCTGAAATCCTTAATGTGTAAAGAGTTACTACATATCCATAAGGAAAAGTCAAGTGTCTCAATTTAAAGAGGGTAAATTTATGAAAGAGAAAAAAAAAATGATCTGCAAAGACAAGAAAAAAAATTCAAGCTCATCAATAATAAAAGAAATATAAGTTAAAATGGGATTTCTTTCCTTATTTTTGCCTATCGAATTAGCAAGAAAAATATAATTCTCATCATTGGTAAGTAAGTAGTGAAAGAAGCACAATCCCTCCTCCACTTCTCCCTCCTTTTAGAATTCTGGACATGCACACGCACCGGGAGTGTTTCTTAACCCACCGGGTCTGGGACTTGAACTGTATGGTCAGCTATGTGGGATCTGGATGCCTTAACCACCACACCATAGAGCTGGCCCAAAAGGCACTTTGATTTGGTGCTCGTAGGAATAAAAACTGATTTAAAAATATAGGCAAAATACTAGGCTAAGTATCAAGTTGCAAAAGGCATATGGGGAATTTTTAGCATAACAATAATAACGATATAGCAGATAAAATTGAATTTCAGTAAGCATAAGGATATTAATGAGAAAAACTTCAGTGTTACAAGATTACATATCAACAACATAAATATCATAACATAAAATTCTAGCTCTCTAAATAATAAAATACAGTCTTGTTTATTCCTTTAGTCCCTACCTTCCTGAGACGATGCCTTCTCCGCCTTTTTCAGCCTTCCATTCTCTTTTTCCATTCTCTTAAGTTTTAATTGTAGTTCTTTCATTGTTCTTTTTATTACATTTAGTTCAAGGGTTAGGATTTGGTTTGCATAGTTTAGTTGGAAATTTTCTTCTTTTACATCCTCAAATTTTTTTGCAAATTCCATACATCTTTGACGTGTTCTATCTATTACATATGAAAAGGTACAGGGGAAAACATTAAAAATATTAATTCAGGGACCAAAGATGGTATAATGGTTATGTCACTGGACTCCCATACAGTCAACTGTGGTTTGAGTCCTGGACCTGGCGGCTTAAAACTTAAACCAGGTGCATGCACATGTGTACCCAAAATCCTGAGAAGAGAAAGGAGGAGGAGAGACTGGAGCGTGGCCATTCCCCCCCCTAGGGGATGATTTCTCGTTTTCTGTCTCTCTGTCTCTCCAGCAAGCACATGTGTCCTATAGCAAAAATCTCTCTCCAAAAAAAATTTTGATATTTACCACTTTCTATCAACATGATAGGAGATTTTATTCCAAAAAATTCACGAGCAACTACTTCATGCTCTGTTCTTCAGGCCCTAGAAAGGCCAGTGGTCTGTAAGGGGTGGGGAGCAGGGCTGGGAGCCAAGGATGCTCTTGCGTATTGTGACTGCAGAGTGGAGTGTTCCCCTGCAGACCACCAGGAGACGAAAAGGCTTTTAGACACTGGTGTGAAAATCAAGGGGCTCTATTCTCATATAAGTTACTGAGGCCAGCAGGAGGGACTCCATTGACTGCTGTGGGCAGTGTCAAGGGCCGCTTAGGGGACAGCAGTGATACGTTGCCCAAGCAAAGAAGGATCCACACAGAAGGCTGGCTCCCTGGTCAACCTGTACACACTGAGTGGTCACGGGTAGGATCCTGGCTGGCTGGGAGGGCTCAGGAAGGCCTTGTTGAAAGCGCTTGTCTTTCTCTCTTTTCCTGTGTCTCTTTGTTTTGGAGAGGTTTTTGCTATAATAGGGTACGTGTGCTCGTCAGAAAGACAGAGACAGAGAGACAGAAAGTGAGAAATCACCCCCTGGGGGGGATGGCCATGCCACAATCCCTTCTCCTCCATTCTCCACTCGGGATCTTGGGCACGCACGCACACGCGCCCAGTGTGAGTTTAAGCCACCGGGTCCGGGACTCGAACTGCAGTCGACTACATGGAAGTCCAGTGACATAGCCATTACACCAACTGCTGGTCCCTTAGTGTCTCTTTTATGAAGCAGGAATTTAAAACAATTCATGATAGAGAGTTGTGTATGTACATGAGAAAGCACCCCCAACAGGGCCCAGTCATGGCACAATCCCCATTCCTGTAATTCTCTATCCCGCTGAATCCTGCGTATGCATACAGAAGCCTGGTGTGAGACCAACAGGGCAGGATTTGAACCCTGGTCAGCCAGGTGGATCTGACTTCCTCTGTGCAGTGCCTAACTCCCACACCATGCAGCCAGCCCAAGAAATAAACTTTGGAAACAAAACAAAAACAAGAGTGACTGCCAATGTCTGTGTTTGGGATAGAACAAGAAACATGAGAGAGAGTAGGTGTGGGGCCTAGAGGAGGAGCAAAAGCAAACTCGGGTGGGGATATACACCCAGGACAGCCCTGGCTGGAGAGAGGCTGAGGAGAGGCCAGCATGTGGGCAGTACTTGAAGGCACTGGGGAGAGGGGAAAGCAAGACGTCACAAAGAAACTGCAGAGGGAACAGAAAGATAGGCTGGAGGAAAACCCGGGGTGGTATTCCACGGGGAGTTGTGCTCAGAGAGGCCAAAGGGAGGGAGAATCCCATGAGAGCCCCGGCCAGAGGCAGAAGCAGAGCTACCATGGCAGACTCAGCAGCCTCCCCCAACCCCAGAATATGAAAAGTGAGGCTCAGAAATGGTCACTCAACAGCTACATGTGAAAACACAAAAGGGGGACCAGCAGTTAGCGTAATGGCTGTCGCTGGACTCCCACGTAGTCGACTGCGGTTTGAGTCTCGGACCCGGTGGCTTAAACTCACGCCAGGCACGTGTGCGTGCGGGTCCAAGATCTCAAGAGGAAAATGGAGGAGAAGGGATTGCGGCGTGGCCATCCCCCCGAGGGGTGATTTCTCGCTTTCTGTCTCTATGTCTCTCTCTGTCTTTCTGGCGAGTGCATGCGCCCTATAGCAAAAACCTCTCCAAAAAAAAGAGGAAAAAAAAAAAACACACAAAAGGAACAAAGACAGATTCCAGAGTGAAAAGAATGGAGATCAGACTGAGGATGGAAGCCAGAGGCTAAAACATGTCAGGAGAGGTCAGCTCCAAAAGTCAGGGTGACTCCAGAGATATGCCTTGCCTTGGTGGATGGGAGGACATGACGTGGCCTGGAAAGAACTGATAGGTGTCCAGTTAGAGACAAGCATGGGAGAAATACCCCAAGAACCACCAAACATCTGAGTCAAAGAAGCACCAAAGTTAAATGAGAGGAAAGTGTAGCAGAAACATCAAGACCAGAATGAATATTTAAGATTCTCAGAGAGAGGGACCAGCAGTTAGAGTAATGGCTATGTCGCTGAACTCCCACGTAGTCAACCGCGGTTCACGTCCTGGACCCGGTGGCTTAAAACTCACGCCGGGAGCGTGTGCGTGCATGCCCAAGATCCCGAGAGGAGAATGGAGGAGAAGGGATTGCGGCATGACCATCCCCCCTGGGGGGTGATTTCTCGCTTTCTGTCTCTATGTCTCTCTCTGTCTGTCTGGCGAGCGCACGCGCCCTATAGCGAAAACCTCTCCAAAGATTCTCAGAGAGATACTAGTCAATATCTCACGGAATGACAGAATTAACATTTTGATTAATACCAGTAATTCAAAAGATGGGATGTACAGCCAAATATGATGATGAATGAACCTATAGGCTAGATGTGAGAGCCCCAGAAATCTCCCAGAATACAACAACACTGAGGTAGAAAGGATGAAAAGTCAACCTAACATGGAGGACAGCTTAAAATAGGATTTTCAGACTAGTGATAAGAGATATAACAGACAAAAATGGCAAAATCCACTTTGGAAGCTACTGAAACTCTACAGACTCTACAGAGAGCATAATCGTCAAGCATGTGTAGAACTCTCACTCTGCCTTCAGCCCCTGAGAGGAGCTCTCATTTGCATATGCCCTCCCCAGGATATGAGCACATCCTCAAGGCCTACCCTGACCCCACCCCCAGAATCTGGGCACATCCCACATGGACAGACATACAAAGGGACTTCAAAACATTCATGGACAAATAGAATTAAAGTAAGTTTCTCTGGATACAGAAAAAAAATGGAAATACATAGTTCTTTCATAATACATATTTTCCACTAACTTTTTGAAGACCCTGCCACCCACATTTCACCATCACCCAATGTTTGGATCCTCTCTGTTGAGGTAAGGGCAGAAGTCCAACAACTAAAACCTCTTCCCAATTCTAATAACACAAGGGGTCTTTGAAAATTTCATGGGGGACCAACAGATGGTATAATGGTTACATCACTGGACTCCCACATAGTCGACCACAGTTCAAGTCCTGAATCCGGTGACTTAAAACTCACACCGGGGCCCAAGAGCCAGAGAAAAGCCAGAATCCACGTACATCTGAAGTAGGCCTAGCCCTGCCTCTTTAACCAGAAAGTCTCTGCCCTATACCTCTCCTTCCAGCCCAACAGCCAGTGAAAAGCCAGGTAGGGTGGTCTCTGCCTTCTTTTTGTCTCTGTCTCTTTCTCTCTCCGTCTCCTTTTCTCTCCAAATTTTTCTCATTTATATACATGTATGCATGTGTGTGTGTGTGTGTGTGTGTGTGTGTGTACATCCATCCAATTGGTTCTGCTTCTGTGAAGAATGCTGAGTATTAAAATGTCCCACAGGGAATAGTACAGAGCAGCCCTAATGAGAGAACCAACAATAGACACACAGCTCAAGGTCACAATTGCTGTGAGTGGTGACCCCTTTGCATGTCTCCCATGACTCTTTTCAAATGGTGATGTCCATAGTTACCTCATACCTGCTCCAGTATCACTTGTCTGCTTGGTTTGTGAAGGATAACTTGTTCTTGACTCACAGGTCTTCAGACTGAGGAACCACAGAGAAGACCTGCACCAGAGGAGGCTCATCCACACCGGCACCTAGCTTAGATGGTCAGCTCATAGACTGAGTTGGTGCTGCAGTTTGATGAGACTTTGGGATTTCAGGAAAGAGAACGAATATATCACGATATAAATAATTTATATGCAGAGTGCTGGTTTTGATTTTTTTTTTAGTTTGCCATAGAGCATATGTACTCATGCGACAGAGAGATAGAGAGCAGAGGGAAGTGAGACATCCTCTCCCTGTTTCTCCTTTATTCTCCTGTTGGGATTTTAGGCACACACACACACATGCACCCAGAGTGATTTTCAAGCTGCTGGGTCTGGGACTCAAACCATGAAGTCAGCCATATTGGATTGAGGCACCATAACCTCCATGCCATATGTTGGCCCATGGTATTGGATACATTTTTAAAGGCTATGAATTCTTTCACACTCTTTAACTTGGAAGCTGAGTAACTCATTCTCCTCACCTAGGATCTAATCATTTGCGGCTGCCTGGACCATGAAGACACTGTGAGAGTGATGTCTGTAGCTGCCAGGACGGGGTAATGAGGGAATGGAACTGCAGTCTCCTCCACTCAGTTGACTTGAAAACTTCACACTTGGGTCCTTGAACTGCTATGTAACAAATCTGGCCATCCTGGGTCATCAGGCTGTCAGGAAGTCAAACTTCATAGACCCGGGCAAGTTACCCCAACCAAAGCAGTGGACAAGTGAATACAGATGTCAGAGATTCCAGCTTGCAGCCACAGTCACCTCCAGACATCAAACATTCTCAGCTAAGTTCCCACATACTATGGGGCAGAAATAAGCCATTGACCATGTTGAACTTTATCAGAGCCTGGTATTTCCCAAAATTAGTGACATTAGAGAAATCCTTCCACTCTCTGTGTGTCAGGAAACAGCAAGGCACAAAGGACCACTCTGCCCTCATCTTTGATAGGAGACCTTCTCTGAGTCCTGTAGAACTCTGGAGAACAGTCCTGCCTCTATCAAACCAGGCCCCCTTTCTGTTCTCTGAGATGGGCCTCATTAATGAGCATTTTCCCCTTCGAAAAAGCTCGAATACAAT